TCCTTCCTTCCTTCCTTCTTTTTCTTCCTTCCTTCAATCCATTCATCCATCCATCCATCCATCTATCCATCCAACCATGTATCCTTCCTCCCTTCCTTCCTTCCTTCCTTCCTTCAACCCATCCATCCATCATCCATCCTTCCTTCCTTCCTTCCATTCTCCCAGCTGATACTTAGTCCATAACCATTACATGCCAGGAACTACACCAGACCCTGTGGGCAAAATCAGAGAATAAAAAAAAAAAAAAAAATGCTTGGAATCTGTACTCCAAGAATTCACAGCCAAGTAGGAGAGAAAACATGGATGCTACAGGGCACATATGCAAGGAGAAATAAGAAATTTCCAGGGCTGATGGGGAGGAGGGGAGGTGATTTCAGACCCCAGGGGGTACTCCTCCGGGGGCCCTATGAGGATCTCACAGTAGAAGTAGGACACGGAGGGGCTCCTGTAGGCAAGGGCAGTGTCCCAGCCCCACCCTAGTCCACAGTCAACCTGTGGGAGGCCTCATTTCCATTCCAGCCACGGCCTGGGGGGGGCGGGGGAGCAGGAATCTGAGCACAGATTAGCTTCGACAGCAAAGCTGACCCACGGGAGGGGAACGTGATGACTGAAGATACCAGGAGACCGTGAAACTAAATCACAAATAACAGATGAGTCCCAAACTGAAATAGGGAATGGAGACCATAATTTCTGAACCTGAAACTGGGACACATCGCTCAATACACAGAGGAGAGAGAGACGGTGAAAATTTGGGTTGCCTCAGAACACCCAGCTGAGAGCCACACACACCACTAGCTGTGCGACCTTGGGCAAGTTCCTGACTTTCAAAATCCCTTTGCCTCAGTCTCCCCTCTACAGAAGGGGGAAAGCCATGCCTTCCTCACGGGCATGCGGTGAAGATTCCAGGGCATCACCCCAAAAGGCAGCCCCGGTGGTTGACCTCACAGCCACACAGCAAGCCCTGGAATCGCAGTATTTTGTTCGGTGTCTCACCACAAAGGTCTGATCGTGACCTTCTCCATTTCGAAATGCCCACCCCCATCCTGCAGGCTCTTTCTACTTCTGGCCTGCCAAGACTCCGTAAACTTTATATAGTTTCCATAAATCCAGTGGCCCCTTTCTTTCCGCCGCACCTATCACGTTGTAAAGGTGTAGGGAACCATTTTTCTGGAAGGGTCTGGCCTTCTCACGGAGTGTTTGTGGGGCCCGGTACGGGTTTGCTGGGCAACGGCGGGGCAGTAACAGGGTTGTAAAATCGCCATCACCGGGTCTGCCTGGCTGGCCGGGGCGCGTCCAAGTGCCCGGGCAGCATGCAATGGGAGGAGCTGGCTGGACAGGGGCCCCGAGAGACAGAGACAGAGAGGGAGGCACAGCCTTCTGGCTCAAGGCCACCGTCCCAAATCCCCTCGTGTGACTCAGGCCCCTGCTTTACCAAGAACAGATAATTTCAAAATGTGACCTTCCTCCATTCTCCAGGCCACCACTGGTGGCCAGCTCAGGACTTGGGAGCCACGGAGTGGGAGACGCTGACTTGGGAGTTAAAACAGATTCATTGACACTGTGACCTTTTTTTCCCTATGTCCACACTTCTGCTAAACCTCTTTCCTAGGTAATATTTCCTTTATAATATTTCTGCCCTTCCCCACCCACGAGAAAGGCTTGATGGCTTATCTGTTTATAAACATGTGCTCATGATAAAAAATTAAAACAAGACGGGATAGAGAGACGTATCTAAAATCTGTTGAAATCACATTACACTCACAGATCACCACTATTGATATTTTATTGATTCCTTTCAGAAACACACACACACACACACACACACACACACACACAGCTAAAGCACCAAGATATTCACGTACACAATTCAGTGTGATCAGCTAATGCCGCGGCATTTTTCAAAGTCTGGTCCACGGATCGCTAACATCAAGAGGTTCTGGGGTGACAGTTAAAATGCTAATCCCTGGACCCTATCCAAGACCTGCTGACTCACGCTCTCTGGCCCCAAGGCCTGAGAACCTGCATTCAACCAGCTTGTGGGCGAGACACTGCACACTTTGAAAACCTGTTCTTACTGGGAAGAGACAAGTGGCACAATTTCTTGGCCATCTTCAGGCAGGGTGGAGGATGCGACTGGCGTGCCACCTGGCATAGAAGGAGCAGGCGGCCTGGAGCCAGGTACACAAGCCCCACCGCAGACGAAAAAAGGGGGACACACATATGTCTCCCGGGCTTGCCTACCGGCAACGGGCAAGACAAACGTCATTTCTTTTTCCTTCGTCGTCCAAAGGGCTCTTCCCGATAGTGGCCTTTAGTCACTGAATTCATACAGTTTGGGGGGGGGGGGTCTCTGACTCCCCTGCGAGATGAACCAGAACTGACGAGGAGGACTGCAGACCAGAATTCCTGCAGGGGACGCTCATTCTGTGACGTCCATTCAGGCAGGCCAGCTGGGAGCAGTTCTTTCCAGCTTCAGTCACCCAGCCTGGCGAGAGG